GGCGGATAATGTTGGCATCACACGAGATGCTAGCTCACTAAATTTGTAGTATATCCCTATAGGTACCCCCCCAAGACCCTATATATGCGTCTGCCCTCCTCGTTCTCAGCCCCTGCCCTCCATGGTATGGTCCCCATCTGCGAATAAACCATATCTATAACCTCCCAAGAACCATGAACTCTCCGCAAAATTTCCCTTAGACCTTCTTTTAAACCTTCTATAAACCCTCAGCACAACTGGACCACAGGGGGGAACCTTCATAAGCTTCCACTAAGCACTCTATAAAACCTTCATAAACCCTCTACGAACCTTCCACAAACTCTCTAACACTTTTGCAAGCCGTCCATAACAGCTATAACCCTCTGTAAACCTTCTACAATTCTAAAAAAAAACTGTATAAAACCTCTAGAAGCACAATCTTTCTCTATAAGATCAATAACACTTTATCAAACCTTCAGAAACCCTCTATAAACCCCTTCAAACAATCTCTTGAGACCTCTAAACACCTGCCATTGAATTAAAGAACCGTCTGCAAACATTCTTTAGATCTTATAGAACCCCTCCATAAACACTATAAGCTTCTATAAACTTAATCTAAACCTCCCAATCAAACCACCAAACCCAGACCACAGGACCACAGGACCAAAGGTGGGGGGGTTAGGTTCATCCTATTCTATGTCATGGACATCATGGACCTTACGGGGGCGAGGGAGGGAGGGGGGCCTTGAATGCTAACGCATATATTCCCCTGTAGGTGCCCCCCAACCTAAGTGTAGTCTGTAGCTCATATGAGCCATTGTCTAAACTCCTAATATCCTCCTTAATATCCCCTATAGTAGTCCCCTATATAATCCCCTATATAACCCCCTTTTAAGGAGTTTAGTCTGTAGCTCATATAAGGGCAGCCAGGAGTTGGGAATGGCGGAGTAATCCCTGTACCATCCCCCTAGTTATTCCTATAGGGGGCTGCTGTTAAAGAATTCAAGTTACCATAATGGGTATATATATATATACTAATATGATTTCCCCACTATAGAAGCTTAAACTAAGTTCCTTAAATCCCTGTACTCCCCGCAGTGCCCATTTCATTTTCCAGTTCCTTTTCCATTTGATTCTCCATTGTAAGGGGGATAATATAGCCCTAAACCCTATATGCCCCTATATAACTATCCCCTATATACCCTTACTCTAGTAAGTTAAACTAACTTCCTTAACAGCGTAAAACCCATTCACGGCGAATCTGGGCTCCAGGCCGCCGGCTGCCCAGGTCTGGCTTTGAAAAGCAGGGCCAGGTCTGTGTTCACCTTTCAGCAAGCCGCATTGCAATATAATATGTATGTATATATATATGTACATATACATATATACACACATGTACACAGATGAGCGTGCTTTTGAAACACGATATTCACGAAATCATCCTGTAAAGTTTTTGTAGGCAGCAAAGTTTAGCTTTCTACATGCATGTGTATGTAGGCTATACATTCCATAATGGCAGAGATGTTGCTATCGTACTCCAACGAACGAAGAACCGCTCTGCAGCCCTGGCACGAACAAGACTTAGGCAGAAAACAGCTTGATCCACGTCGATGGTTTTTATCGCCCGCCTCATCCAAGTCGAAGTGAGGCAAGTGTAAATCCACTTGGCAGCCCTCCAATATCGGCTCATCATTGAATACCCAGCTGGTGATGGCCTGAGTAGCGCTCATGGTGCAAGTGCGGCTGCGAGCTAGCCCTTTGGCAGCATGGGTTGAAGGATTGGTGTTTCTTGTCTCGGAAATCCCTGGATGAAGAATGTGACGTTGGGCGCTTCAATATTACCTACATTGGCTCATTTGGAGCTTTGGGAGTGGATACAAGGATTCTTGTTGGACTTCATGCTTTGACCCCTTACTGCCATCAAAATTGCAGCCGGCTCGCTGCCATCCGCGAGCGGATTGTCTCCCAGAAATCAGGCAGTGGACGAGCCTTGGGCAGGGAACACGCTTCATGACTGGTAGGACCGTCGCCTTAGTCAACATCCCCCCGCCCGACAATACAAACTCCCAATGGAACACGGGCATGAGGTGTTGGGGCGCGTGCTTCATATTCGATAGTGCGGAGGTGTCTGGAAAGAAGTCATTCATTTTTCTAGGCATGCTTCATGCGTCTAAATGCAAAGCATGTGGCAGGACTGCTGCCACATCGCCGATACACTCCGCGCAGCCGTCCCTGCTCCAATGTAGCTCGAACCAGGGAGGGGCTGGCGACATCTTCGGGACCGAACCAAAGTAGGCCCTGAGCAGCAAACATGACAATGCAAACTCAATGTCAATACGCGCCCTTACATATTGTAAATATATATATATATACACCGCTGTATACTCCTATGTGCCCCTGTATATATTTGTGTGCATAAATGTAGCTCCCTAGTACTAGATACCCTATGTATCCCTGTGTGGTGCACATGCGCCTGGTAGTTGCCAGCATCCTCCTGGCAGCATATTATCATAGTTTAGGTTTAAGGGCTTAGGGCCCAGGGTTTTCGGTAAAGAGAGGGACCCCAATACACGCTCAACAATGCGATCGTTCTTATTATTAAGGGGACTCCCAGAATGGGACCCCAAATTTCGGGAAGCCCTTGATCCCCCTAAATCACTGTAGAAATCCAGTGTCCATGTCATTTTCACCGTCTTTTCCATTTGATTCTCCGTTATTGCGCTCTATGTCCTGCATACCCCCATACATATGAGCCGTAGTCCAAACTCCTAGTATCCGCCCCAATAATCCCTATAAAGCTCCCCTATGCAACCTCCCCTATATAACCAGCCTTTCAGAAGTTAACCCTAGTTAACCCAAACCCTGTAAACCCTAATGAAGGCACAGCACCTCATGTTCACAAGCAAGGGCCTCCGTCACGTTCGCCAGGCGGCCACGAAAGTTGACAGCCATGGAGCAGGCCTCATCACAATTAAGCTATAGGGTTTAGGGTTTAGGGTTTGGGTTTAGGGAAACTCCTCAAAGGGGTTATATAGGGGATTATATAGGAAGTATTTTCGCGCTTGTTTTGAGGGGATGGTAGGAGTTTAGACTATAGCTCAGCTAACACAATTTAGCAAGCAAGCCTCGGCAACATACTCTTCCGTAGTAAGCAGGAAATTGAGGAGCGGTAAAGAACATGGAAACAATTATTCCATGGGGACTTTACAGGGGCGACTACACTATAAGTATAGATTTTCCATTCCTTGCTAACCAGAAGAGGAAATGGAAAGGCTGAGTTCGTGCTTTCTGCAGTCTTTGGCCAGGTTCCAGGCCCGAGCGCCGAAGAGTTTCGCGAAGCTGGAGAACAGGATGTCATTCCTTAAAACCGCATTATCAACATGAAAAGGCTCACAAAGGCTCAGAATCTTGCTCGCCTAGTCTCGTTGAGAGGTATTGCACTTGCTCGTCTTCTGCAGCCAAGGCCTTTTTTTGAGCTCAGGAACGGCTTCAAGAGTCGGCCATTTCACGCTTGGCCTTCAATTCCCGCACTTTCTCCTGGTTGATGAGATACGCATGGCCTTGGCTCGCGTAGGAACGCACAGATTGCAGCAGTGGTCCCTCCAGCAGGAACACCTCTTGGGACTGCACAGCGCGGCGTTCCACGCAGAAGCTTGCTGGTAAGACAGTTGAGCAGGAAGCCAGGGGAGAAAATGAAGTCATACTCAGACCTCGCCCGTGCAAGAGATGTTTCAGTTGGCAGCCCATTGTTGGGTCGACTGACTTGCTGAGCTTGGCGCCTGCCGACAGCGCGCCAGCGCTCTTCATTGAAAGCCGCTTTTCGCACTGGACTAAAAGCCACGATCGGCGTCAGCTTGCACGTCAGCATACTGAGAAGCCTGTAGTAGATGTACCTGTCGCTCTGCATGGTCTCTATTCTCTGATGGTACGATGAAGCAGCTGCTGCAAAACACCCCCTCCAGCAGGGCACCCGTCAGCAATAATGTGCGAGAGCGAGAGAACGTAGGCGAACTGATTACCTGAGCCCAGTAAGCATGATTCCTTTGGCCTATGGCTGTCGTCAGGCTATCTCCTGAGAGCACGGCTTGAGCAGTTTGAAGTGATGCTGCAGACTGTTACTTGGAGCAATGGAAGGCTGCCGTTCTTCAGGCAATCTGTGCCGGACCTGGCCAGGGGAGCAGGGTTGCTACTATTGTTCTAGCACCAGGTGTTCTTTTCTCACATGTTCCTTTTTTGAAGTCCGTTTCGCTGTCTTGGGAAGTAGAGTAGATGCCAGAGGATCCCTGCATGGAGAACTCCCCCACAAGTTCTACTTGAACTTCGCAGAAACTTGAAGACAAGAGCATGTGCAGATTCAGTGCTCCCCCTCATGCACGAGTAGTCATCGCAAGGGATGGTAATAACTGTTTCAGGGTGCCTCTGTTGTTACCAAACCCTGAACCCTCAGGCAAAGAGCCGATCAAATCTCAGTTCGAGTCGGACATGAACCCTGCACAAAATTCTTTTCATCTGGAGATCCAGATGAAAAGCCAAGACCCCCAACACTTAACTCTAAGCCCCTGAGCCGCAACTCCCAACTCTAAAGCCCAAACCCTAAGCCCCAAGACCCTTGAACCCAAACCACAACTCATAAATCCCTCCAACCTTCAAGTCCCAAGCCCCAATCCCTAAATCCCAACCCGTAGTTTCTATTTTCTTTTCCATTATCCCTATATACGTACCGATAATCAATTCCCGAACTCCATATTCCTAATACTATTATATCCTGTTATTACTACTATTACTATGTTTATTGCTATTATTCCCGGCCTGACTTCAGCGCAGGACCCGCTCAGAACCCGGCTGAAGACGTCATAGTCCATGTTGCTGTGTAGTTGAAGTGTGTCAGGCCTGTGCTGCTTCTAGGGTTTAGGGCTTTGGGTATGTCAGGCCTGTGCTGCTTTTTACAATTTGTCTTCTGCACAAAGTTCTTATGTAGGGTTCTGGGCTATGTCATACTAATATTAAACAAGGACTACAAGGGGATAATATTACAAGATTTCAGGCTTCTACACTACTCAGTTTGTATGAGCCAAATGAGAAGGTACACTAGGAACGGCATTGAAGGATTCTTTGAAAGATGGTTTTGTAGGATGCTTGAAGCCTAAACCCTAAACCCTAAAGGTGTTGTGAAGAAGCCAGGCTCAGATGGTCATGGCGAGCATGTTTAGTCATTCAGTTGGTGTATAGCTGTCAACATCACCGCACCAACAAGTTTTGAATGCATTAGACTACAACGTCTTGGGTAGCTTCCCGGTTCTTTTCCAGAAATCATGACAATGCGGGGGAAAAGCTACCCAAATCGGAAAGAACACAGGAAGCTACGCAACACACACACACATCATGCATATTAGCTTCCATTTTCTTTTCCCTTATCTCCATAAACACTCCAAAACGCTTCTTGAAGCAATCCCTCAGGCAAACTGCAGCCTAGCAACCCGACCTGCTGAAACAGGGCAAGGGCTGCTTCTGCTCCTGCCTGGGCCAGTCTCAGGGCTAGGTTTCTCAAAACAATTCCAGGGATATGCTGTTAAGGAACTTAGATTAGGTTGCCATAATATGGGTATACGCCTTAGACAACTGGATTTCCCCAATATAGTAACTGAAGTTCCTTAACAGCAACCCAGTAAACAGGGATGAAAGTGGATTTACCCAGCTCTTGACAAGGGATTCTACAAGAGGAGAAAACTTCCATGTAGCGGGGCTGCTTTGGCCCGGGTTGAGTGGATGTTTGGGTGTAAAAGCCTAACGCATACCTGGCCCTCCGTCCAGTACAGGGTGATCGAAGAAAAAGCAAAGTTGTATTCTGCCTAAGGTTGGCCCAGCTGCTTCTTCGGCATAGTGAAGACTCACCCGATCCTTCGCAGAGTTTAAGCGAGCCACATGAGTCTGATCCATGAGGAGCTTCCACTCTCATGATGCGGGGGTGTGCTTGCTTTATCTCTTCTTCTCCAAATGGGGCGTGCAATGCAGCGACTCGTGCTTTATGCAAACACAGATGTAGGGACCGGCATGGGGTGTCTCGGTCCGAGGTACCAGAGTACAAGCATAGCAGCTACAAGATTCCCAATAGGCAACGGTATCACCAGCAACAGCGAACATGGGGCCTAATATGCCACACCTTCGAAACGGCAATGGTGTGATGTTCAGAGCACGGAGGTCTCTTGGGTTTGGAGCCGGTATCATTGATATTGGGGATATATTGGGATACTGGAAAAGAAAATGGAAACTACTGTAGTCATATAGGGATATAAAAGTATCATACAGAAGCTTGGCTTTAAAATTAGGAGGCTTAAGGTTGATAATGGCAATCGTAATTTAGGTTTCTTTGGGGTTTCTGGTCTGCCTGTCTAGCTTGCTGTCTTTTTGCAGTAGCTTTCTGCATGTTCTTGCTTGCGCAATTTGCTGACAGGTTAGCAGCTTTCCGTATTATCTGCTTTGGAGAAGCTGTGGATTTTAGTTACCCCAATCCCTATAAGGACCTATTCCAGCCTATAAAGGCCTATAACTATCATATGACTATAATTCATTGAAGCCCTGTTGTGAGAAACCTCCTGCCTCCGACCTTGCCAGGCTTCCTGCCAACCATGGGTTGGCTACCACCACTGCCACCAGTCCTGTAGTCTCCTTGGACCTACAACAAAAATAATTGTTGAATATTTGTTTAGGGATTAGGGTGTGGGTTTAGGGTTTAGGGTTTTAGGGTTTAGGGTTATACTAAAATAAAAATGAAAAATCCTAAGGACAGCACAGAGTCTCTGTCGGAGCCAGTCGGTCGGGGGATTCCCAGTACAAAAGTTGACCTGGGACTTGCGAACTGCTATGGATTGGCGGGGGGATGTAGATAGATATGTGATATGTGTTATATACAGGGTTATATGTAGATATTGGGTTGACGTCTCTCTTCCTGGTCTCACCCTGCAGGTTGCCCCCGTGGGCAGCTTGACGACTGTCAAGTGCCTTCCGAAACATTCAGCAAAGTCACTGTTGTCATGCCTCTGAGTAACAAGAATACAGCATTGCACTCTTCATCCAGGAGTGGTATCTCCTGATAGGTGTCGAAGCAGATGGAAGGCATGCCCTACCACAAGCTTGCAACTGCTGCAGGCCAGCGAGTGAGGTGTGGTGATGCATTCAAGTAGCACTAAGCGGAAATTCTACCGTCGTGTTAGGAGTAACTCAAAAGCAGTGTCTTGAGGACCCCGTGTGTAAAACTGAGCGCCTAAATAGGTTCACCGATATCATGTTGAGTTCTACTTGAGGTACCGCATACCCGCATACCATAAATTCAAAGTGAATCTTGCACCATACTATTGAGTAGCAAAGATTTGGGCCCCTGCAGTGTGAATGACTCCTATTTGCAACAAATCTGTCCTTGTAGCTTGCCCGAATAATGGCAAGTTTTCTTCGCAAGCGTCCATCTGCCCACCTCCCCGATCTTCCAGCTACGAGGAAGCAGCTTTGAATGTTTTCGCAGAGGAGACCAGCGAGGAACAGAGCTATGGACCTATGCTGTTGGCAGATGACAACTATAAGGATATAACCACTATAATCCCTACCGTTTCCATTTTCTTTGCTATTATTCCTATATTATGCCAGAATTGCATGGAACCATTGCAGCCATGCATCAGATGTAGGAACAGCCGGACCCGTCTCATATGTGGCCTGTTCCGCCTCTTTAGCTGACAATGTCGGCGGAGTTTCAGAGATTCCGCGCCACCACCATGGTCGGCGCGCATGCAAGAATTCTTTGATGCTTCTGCGGGCTGCAGGCTGCAAGCGAGAAACGTTCGGGTACACCATGGACATGCCCTGCCTCCAGTAAGGAATGGCAACGTGCTAGGACAAAAATACGACGATACTCTGAGGTAAACCTGCAGGAGCCCTCTGATACAGTAACCCTTTACAACATACTTTCCCGACCCATTTCGTGAGCCCAAGGTCTCTCAAACGCAGCCCTCCCAAGCTAACATGGCAACGCTTGGAAATTACGGGGGTTCCTATAATAAGGACTATAGTATATTGGGGGTCTACATTTTGTGGGAGGTTTGGCAAGCAAGCCCGGCCGGAGTCGCAATTACAAGGCTGGAGCTTCGCGAGATGCCCTTGGCACAGTAGCAAAACACCTGGCTCTGCAGGATTTAGGTCTGAGGGTTAAGGCGGATGCAGCGTCTAGCTACAGGAGCATCATTGGCATATCTGTCCTCTTTGAATTTGCTGCTATGCTTCTCGGAACTGCCACTAATCGTTGCAAGTTCTGTCCTGATTCTGCCTTGGAACTACCAGTGCAGTGCTTGCTGCCACAGCAGCTCTTGGCTTTGCATAGCGCCAGGCACTATGTAACACTTTTTCGAGCTTTTCAACCCCCTTAAGAACCACTACAGTAGTCCCCTATATAATCCCCTATATAACCCCCTCAAAGGAGTTCAGACCATAGCTCATATTGTTTCCCATCCAGTAACATAAGCTACTACGTCATCGTTTTGTTTGCTCTTATCGTTTTCCCATGGTCTGCACACGCCCGTAAGTCGTGTCAGTTTTATATATTATAAACCATAGAGACCCGGGTTGCTGTCCCAGCTCTCCTGCTCTATAAGGACCCAACTAGCTGGATCTCTGTACCAAACCCTTTGAAGGTCCATAGATCAGGGGTTTACGTCGCACCACAGAGGAGCAATCAAACACTACACCCTATAGCCTATAGTCCCCAACCCCAAGCCTTAAACCCCCAAACTCCCAGGTTCCGGTTCGTCTTTTGTTCTAGTTTGCATTTGACTCTCGACTTAATCCAGGAATCCCAGAACCTCACTGAAAAATGCACATGCTGCGCCTTGCCGCCCTTGGTGCGGGCCTCCAGGCAAAGAAGGATCTCTGTGACACATCTGCTTTATCTTCTTTAAGTCTTTTGTATTTGGATTTTAGGGCTTAGTTTTGGGGTCAAGGCGTGTTGGGTGCATCTTTAGGGAGCCAGGGTCTAGAGCCCAGGGTGTATAATGTATAGGGCTTCAGCACTTCTCATGGCCCATATCCTTGAAAAAGCCTCATATCATCATAGCTGTCTGTCGATGATGAGCTGCCAAGTTGTATCTGTAATGCACAAGTGCTCGTGGTCCTCAATGCCGAATGCTATGATTCCCCATACGGCTTAACAAGACACGGACACAAGAAGCCGATACAAACCTGCCCAGGCTACAACATGAAGGAGCGGAGCTGAACTTGTCAGCCATAGTCTAAAACCCTAATATCCTTCTTAATAAGCCCTAAATAGTCCCCTATAGTCCCCACATAACCCCCTTTAAGGAGTTTAGACTATAGCTCGTGTAGTACTCATGGAAACAGCTCTTTCACGTTTTCTGTGAGCAGTGACCGCGGCAACTATACCGACAGCCATGCCATTTTCACATTCGCTCCGACTTTTTGGCTCCAGCGGCGGCAACGTTGCCTCCCTGAGGCATGATGCAAAACTAGCGAGTCTGTTTCTTGCTGGGAGACCAGACTGACTTCTTGAAATCAATGAGGAAAAGTCTGACATTCAGACATCCACTCGTGTACAAGGGCCAGAACATGTTGTCATGATCAGCACCCGTAACTTAACACCAAGCTGGCAGCGTTGCAGCTGTCCGAGTATCTTCGCCTGCTGAGGAGGCCGGAGCGCTTTAGCAATTTGCCGCAGCATACTCCAATCCCTTGTCAATTTCCTTCTTCAGCTGCTCGCTTGCCTGCAGCACTCAAAGTGAAGGAATCTGAGAGCACAGCTGCTGATTAAAAGTTTGCGAAAGTAGTTCAAGAACAGAAGCATGGCCACAGCTCGTATTGAGTGGAATAATCATCGCATCGTACTCTTGCCGGCATCACTTTAGCCATTTTTGTTATCAGGATTAGCACCATCAGCGCTGAAACATGTATGGTACTTTCCAAAAAATGTAATGTCCGCCATACTCCAAAACTTTCACAACACGGGCACCCGAAAAAGGAACTCATGATTTCAGGAGAAGCTCATGGGCACTTCTGAGAAAACCACCGAAATCCTCCTATAACCTCCACATATCCCTGAAGTCCCTGAACCCCACCTTTTTTTTGCAAAATTTTCCTATGGTAGCTTCCACACATTCGGGGCTCCCAAACCTATGATTCTTACCCTACGGACTCCCAAAAAGTGTCCCAATTTGTGGGCATCCCCAAGCCCTACATATCCTTACACATCCCTAAATCATAACATCCGTGAACCCCTAAACAGCCTCGTAAAGGGACCCCCCAATGTTTGGAAACTCCAAAACCCTAAACCCTAAGCCTTAAACCCTAAGCCCTAAACCCTAAACCTTAAACCCTTACCCCTAAACCCTAAACCTTAAACCCTAAACCCTAAACCTTAAACCCTAATCCCTAAACCCTAAACATTGATAACAAAAGGCCTCCTTCAGCCTCCCCTGCTCATAGCTGTTCAGGGGGC